AAGAGGAGTAAAGTCTTGTGTGCAAGGGACAGTAGGGACCTGGAGAAGAATGGGATCTTGACCACCAAGGTCTCCAAGACTGAATTAGTGACTATGCCTCTCAAAAAGGCTGTAGTTTCATCGTGTAACTTTCTACTGCGTTGCTTTTCTTTTGAGCTCCTCTCTATTTCCTAATTAATAATAAAGATCTCTGAATAGTTCAAAGAGATCTCTCCTCTCTTCCACTGATACGTGGTAAGAGGTGGAAGGGGAAGCTACACCAGTGTATAGATAGACTCTGAAGAACAGTCCTGCTGGTAGTGAATAAGCAGAGGGGGTGGGCCACTTTCTGGGTTCATGAGGAAGGAGACAAGAGGAAGGGACTGGCTCGAGCTCTGGCTGTGTTCGAATGCACCTTCTTCTCTCTTGATCCTACTCCTCTTACTCTTGATATCTCTTGATTTCTCCTCTTTCCAGGAGTGTCAGTTCTTTTCCATAGAGTCCTTAGAAAGGAGAGTTGTAGCTACAGAAATGCTCTGCTGAGAAGCTGGCTGTAATTGGGTAACTTCCTTTCCAGGGAAATACTCAGTTTTAGAAGGAAAGTCAGGAAGAACAAAATCATTTAGACTCTAGGAACTGTTTCTTCAGTGACAGAATGGTGAACCTGGCACACACTATGGGGTCAAGTGCAGCCTCCTAACTTTGTGTGTCATCCAACTAATTATATCTAACTGTGTGCTTTATCTTTGTAAGAGAGTAACTTAGACACAAAAACAAAAATCCTCAGATCTCAGCCCTCTGTGTAGCTAGGATTACAGGTGTAAGCCACTGGCACCCACTTGAACAGAGAAATCTAGTAGCCATGAAACTGATTATCATCTGCAGCATCCTTGAAGGAGAACTAAGATCCAGATTTTGGGGAAAAGTTACTCTCAGGGACATTATGGCTGAGGGAAGGTGAATCTGATTTTCGGGAAGACATACAGTACATGTGAAGTGGGCTTTTGCCATTATTTCATAATTGATTTGGCTAGGTGTAATACATTTCCTATTTTTAACATAACTTCTTCAGGGCTAGGAAAGTGGCTCAGTGGTAGAGCACTTGCCTTGTATGCATGAGGCCCTGGGTTCAATTCCTCAACACCACATAAGCAAAAAAAGCCGGAAGTGGCGCTGTGGCTCAAGTGGTAGAGTGCTAGCTTTGAGCTGAAGAGCTGAGGGACAGTGTCCAGGCCCAGAGTTCAGGCCCCACGACCAGACCCCTTCCCCCAAAAAAAACAACAAAAAACCATAACTTCTTCATAGACCAGATTCTGAAGTCATCTCAGTTTTTTTATTGTGGATATTTTTCCTGGTTTTGAAAAAATTATCCATTGAAAATAAAGCCAGTGGAAGAAAATTCTCTAAAGGTTTCTGTGATTCTATAATAGCAACTGCACATCTTTGTTTTACTAGTATCTGGTGCATTCATAGCTGCCAAAATATAGAAGTTTGATTTCAAGAGTTGTATTCTATAGTGGGTGGTAGGAAGCTACATCAGATTTCCATACGGAAGCCCATTTGGGTAAACAGAAGTTTACTATTATAGGAAATAGTCAAGCATTCATTTATTTTATTCTTAAGTTGCTCTCCTTATATTCATTTTTAAAGTTACATTTCCAGTTGGTTGTACTTCCTGATGGTTTCCATTTCATATTAAAATTTCAAAAGTGATCAGGTGAAATACTCAAGTAGTGGTAAAACTGCCTATACACATCCACTATGCCAAAGGAGAGAGAAGAAAAACATTAGTGTCTTCAGACTTTTGTCTTGTTGGAGATGTGTTTAAAAATCTCTGCAATGAGATTTCTGTGAGTTGGATGTATTTATATAGCTTGCAATCAACATTACTGAAATATATATTAGGAGCTTTCCTACATGTAAGAAGAGTAGGTAATAAACATTTCTTCTGAACATTTGTATGAATTTCCCCTTTCTTTGTGCTAGTCCTTAAAGTTAGCATTTACTGGTCTTGAAGTGATTTAGACATCATTTAGGGTACATTTACAGCTGTTTCTAAAAAAAGATCTCACCAATGTTTCTAAATAAAAGTGAAACATGAAGCCAGGTGCTGGTGGCTCACATCTGTAATCATAGCTACTCAGGAGGCTGAGATCTGAGGATCACAGTTCAAAGCCAGCTTGGGTAGGAAAGTCTGTGAGACTCTTATCTCCAATAAACCACCAGAAAACTGGAAGTGGTGCTGTGGCTCCAGTGGTAGAGCACTAGCCTTGAGCTGAAGAGCTGAGGGACAGCACCCAGGCCCAGAGTTAGAGCCCCATGAATGACATAAGAAAAAGTGAAGCATGAAGCTCAAAACCCCAGCACTGAATGAGAAAAAACAGAAGTGAAATGTCTAACTGTTATCAGTTTGAATGACATATACTTCACAAAACATCCTTATCATTAATCTGGTCCTAATTGTTGTATTTAGGGAATAGGTATAATTTATGTTTTCATCTTGGTCTTCTTTCTATGACTCTTCTAGTAATATTCCAGAATTGGTACAAAAAGATATTTTTCTTTTATTACATTTTGTTGTGAAGAAGATTTTAAATCTCCCACAAAAGCACATACACCAAAGGATTAGTTTGGGGAATTGGTGGAACCCATTGGGAAGAAGTCAGGTCATTAGGAATGAGTCCTTGAAATGAATCTTGAGACTCTGCAAACCCACTCCTCCTCATTGTTTCCCAGCTGTCATGAGCAGAACAGATGTCTTCTGCCACATGTGCCTACCATGACCGATGTGCTTTGCAATGGGTCTACAAGGAATGGAACAAAGTGACCTCAGACTGAAGCCATGAGTCAAAATAAATCTTTCTTCCCTATAAGCAGATTATCTCAGCTATTTTGTCTCAACAGCAGCACTCTAACAGAACTTATAACAAATAAGTCCCAAGTAGTCCAGCAGAACACAGCTATACAGAAGCAGCAAGAAATCTACCAAGTTGCATGACTCATTAAGAGTTTATTTCACAAGGCTTGTTTGGGAAGGGACAGAAGGGAGGAGAGAGAAAGACAAAGGAGGGTTTGGCTCTCATTAAGATGTGCTGCATCCACAAATGGAAATATTATAATAAGACACCATTGTACAACTCATTAATATTAATAAAAACTCAAAAATAATTTTCAAACACATATAAAAACAACTAAAAGGGGAGAAAGAGACTATCTCATTGTCTTTTTGACAGATAAAGCTCAAGGATCGCTATAGAATGACCTTTCGTGGAAGGAAGTTAAGTCATTGGGAGTAAGTTAGGTCATTGGAATGGCAATGATGTAATCTTTGCTCCTAAGGATATTATACAAAGTTAGAACAACAAACTCTGCCCCAAAGAATGGTGATCTAGATTTGCCTTTATGATCCAGTAGACATATACTCTAGATAGATTTGATGAGGTATTGAAATAAAGCCTATTTTTTTTTTTCTTTTTGCTTATGTGGTACTGAGGAATCGAACCCAGGGCCTCAATGCTTGCAAGGCAAGCGCTGTACCACTGAGCCACCTTCCCAGCCCTAAAGCCTATTTTTCCTGTTGAAAACAAAATACTATTTCACCTCCAGGAATTTCTTCATGGAGACAATAATATGTACTTGTAAAACCAAGCAGGGACTATTCTGCTACCACTCTAGGTTGCAAAGCAATGGCTGATGGCCTTGGTGACATAAATTTGTCCAGACCATCTCCATTGATGGAGTACATGCTTTCAACTATTAGCCTGACAAGAAGACTAAATAAAATCTTCAAAGTCTTAACATTAAAGGTCATGTTAGCCATTTTCCTTTTTAATATTCAAAACAAGTGGTGACTGAAGAGTTGGTGATGCTACATCCAGATGATGGGCTGTGAGGAAAACCCTTGTGAAATCTTAGGGGTCATGGAATTAAGGGCCACTTTTGCATTTCACCAGGCTGTTGCAGACACCTGGGAAAAGTAGCCTAGGTACAATACTTAGGTTTCCACTCAGCCACTAACACGCTGCAAGTCACTGGATAGAGGACAGTTTGCTTGTGCTTCGTTTCTTTCATTTAGAAAATGAGAGATTTGGGCAATCAGTCTTGAAGATGTCAGCCAGCTCCAGAGTTCTGATTCTATGAGGGGAAATTATCCCATAATGAGGCTGTGTTTCAACTGTGTTGGACAACAGTGTTGTTTGCAGACCAGCACTGACTTTGTTTTATGGCAGCCCATAACTGATCAGTTCATTTAACACAAGACATGGGTAAAAGCATAGGCTAGTCAAGAAAACCTTTTCAATTTCTTTCCTGTCTACTCTAGGGTCTTGTTATGACACCTCAGAAACATTGGCCTAGACAATTAGCAAAGAAAACAGTTTAAAAAAAACATACAAAAAAAAACCATCCTCCCACGCACGCTTTATTAAATTCTCCACATGCCCCAGGATCACACCACACACTTGAATGCCCATAGTAGATAGGAAGTGCAAGATGATGAGTGAAAATAAAGGTGAGCTCATAAAATGCCACTCTCTTCCCCACCCCAAGGCACTATTTTACTCTCTAGTCTTTCTCACAGACTTTAAAGTGTATATCAATCACAGAATAGACTTCTTGACATAAGCATCAGATAAAGAAAAGAAAGTGATACTCTACACAATCATTTGCAAAGGCTAGGAATGTGGCTTAATGGTAGAGTACCTGCCTGGCATGCAGGAAGCCCTGGATTCGATTCCTCAATACCACATAACAGAAGAAGCCAGAAGTGGTGCTGTGGCTCAAAATGGTAGAGTGCTAGCCTTGAACAAAAAGAAACTCAAGAACAGTGCCCAGGCCCTGAGTTTGAGCACCAGGACTGGCAATATGTATACATATTTGTATACACACACACATACACATACATATATACATATTCTCTCTCTTAACCCTCCCCCCCCCACATACACACATACTTGCAAAAATGACCTGGAAGAGTGCAAAAGTAAATTGAAATGGAGCATGTGGAATCAGAGAGAGCTTACGGATCAAAGGCAGCAAGCAGGAAGTTCAGCAGGAGGCTGATGGATTGCTCCACGTGGATTTGGTGCGTGGTCGGCATCCGTTTGTTAAGCTGGTAAAAAATGGTAGAGAGCACGGCCTCTAAGCGGGCCACATTGAGTTCTATGTTTGGGTCCAGGTTGTTCAGAGCATTTTCCCGCAGGGCTTCTATGATGTTCCAAATATCCACCAGGTGTACTACAATTAAAGCAGAGTGAGCACGTCAGCCCAAAGTACATGGAGAGGAAAACTGCTTTCTATGTCCATCCACCCTGGTTTTTCTAGGCCCTTCACACGTCCAGCTGTCATGGGGGCTGACATAGAGAGCTCTAGGGTTGGACATATAACAGCAAATAAATTGTTGACTGAATATTGCAGTGGTCCTTGCAATTACATTTGAAATACACCTGAGATCCCCATTTTACATGTAAGAAAACAGGGAAGTTAAAGACAAACGCAAAGGGGCAAGGCCAATCAGAAGCAAAATGGACATGGGAAATCAAGTCTAATTCAAAGCATTTTCCCTACTGTGCATTCTGACCTCTCAAAAAATGAAAGAACAGATTAAATTCTAACGTCCAGTCGGATATTAAAATAATTATATTAAATGAAGCAAGCTAGACCCAAAGAATCACAGCTGCATGTTTTCCCTCATTTGTAATAACTAGAATATGTCTAGGATATTCTTAAAGAGGATCACAATAGCTCAATAGCTATGTACATATGACAATATAAAATGACGCTTATCAAAATGGACTCCAAGAAATGGAAACAAGAAGATATTTTTTTCTTTTTCTTTTTTGGTGTACTGTTTGCAGTTATTTCTGCTTTCTTTCTTTCTTTTAATTCCTTTGATTTATTCCCTATGGTTATTGTTTGTTATTTCTATACCCTTTGTCTTGTATTTAAGTTTATCTGATTTGGGGAAGGGAAGGGAAAGCAGTGGGACAGGGGGTGAACCAACACAACAGTGATATTCACCAGACGTTATGTTGGAAATGAACTTTACAACTGGGAGAGAGAGCAGCTGCGGGGGGCAGGGGAAAATGAGGATGGGGTAACATTGTTCAAAAAGAAATGTACTCATGACCTTACCTATGCAATTGTAACCCCTCTGTACATCACCTTTACAATAAAATTTAAACAAAAATAAATTGCATTTGAGTATTCAAGATGTTTTCATTTATTTATATCTTTTTAGTAGTATGAAGTTTGAAAACAGCCAAAAGGGCAAGTTGAAGTGGTCAGGAAGACAAGGCGAAAAGGACACATTAGGATAAGCTCTTTATGACCAATTCTATGCAGCAGGAGTGAGTCACAGATCTGACTAGCCTAGATAAGAACAAGTAATTTCTTGGCTACAGAACTGACTAGCAAATCTGACTTAAGTAACTGTCACTTTCTACTAGGATAGTCAGGAATTCTGTTTCTATACTTTGCTATTTGTCCTGAAGTACTGATAGAACATTTCAATAACCATCACCAGTCCAAGATTAATAAACATATCCATTCACACTGCATGTTTCCTTTGAGCTTCCCAAGCAATCTCATCTGTTTGTTTTCTGTCACCATTTTGTATAATTCCTAAATGATAGTCTATTCTGAGATTCGTCTATATTGTTTCATGTGTCAACAGTTTGCTCTTTTAATTGCTGAACAGTGGTATTCCATGGAATATCACAAATTGATTATCAGCCTAGTTGTTGGTAGACATTTGAATTGACCTAGTTTTTGCTGTTAGGAACAAAGTGGCTAAAAACAATTATATAAAAGCCTTTAGACAGACCTATACTTCCATTTCTTTTCTTGTTAAGTACTTAGAGGCTGAGTTAAATTGGTGAGTGGTTGGTTTATGTTTAGATTGTCAAAAAAAACCCAACCCCCTTCCCCCAAAAAAACCACTTCTGAAGAGTTCTGCAAAGTCAGTTGTCCCATTTCATATTCTAGCAGCTGTGTGAGTTCCAGTTCCTTTTTATATCTTTGCCTTGTTCAGGTTCATTTTTCACTGCTAGCATTTGCTAATAAATATTTTGTCTTTTTGCAATGAAGTACATACATGTTTCAGGTCCTAAGAAATGTGTACACTATATTTGCTTTTTTCTTAAACAGCTCCTCAGTCTGACTACTGTCTCTTCATTCACTTCTGACAATACGTATGTGTGTGTGTGTGTGTGTGTGTGTGTGTGTGTGTGTGTGTGTGTGTGTGTGTGCCAGTTTTAAACTCAGGACCTGGGCACAGTCCCTGAGCTTTTTTTGCTCCAGACCAGTGCTCTACCACTTGAACCACAACTTTACTTCCAGCTTTTTGCGGTTAATTAGAGAGAAGATTCTCATGGACTTTCCTGCCCTAGTTGGCTTCAAACTGCTGATCCTTAGATCTCAGTCTCCAGAGTTGTAGAATTATAGGTGTGAGCCAGCAGCACCCAACTTTCTGGTATTATTTTTAAAAAAACAAAAGGAACATCTCTTGAACTCTTATTGGTAAGTACTTGGCATTGTATGTGACCATGTTTTCTTGGCACCATTCTTTTCTATTGTTTTTTTAAACAGATTTTATGGTTTCTTGATTTTGGAAATAACCACATAACAAGGGACAGGCCTACCAACAAGCAAAGTTTTTTTGTACCACATTCTCCTCTAGGCCAAGTATACTACAGGATCTCTAGATTCTGAAGGTCCAGTGAAGTCTATGCGGATTTTACTTCCAAAATCAGCATAAGGAAAAAATGAAAACCCAAAGTCTGGCTCCCATAACTAAGTTTATATGTGTTAAGAGCATTAATATTTAAGCAATTATGCAAGTCACCCCACTAACAAAAATAAGTTACATAGAACTTTCATGTGTTCTTCACTTGGATTTTGATAGTGTGTGTGTGTGTGTGTGTGTGTGTGTGTGTGTGTGTGTGTGTATACTGGCGTTTGAATGCAAGGCCTTGTGCCTGCTGGTATTCTACTTGAGCCACATGCCTAGCCTTTCTTCTTGATGGTTATTTTGGATACTAAGATGCACAGACTTTTCTGTCTGAGCTGCCCTTAGTGATCCTCTGGATCTCAGTCTTCTGAGCAGCTAGGATGAAAGACATTACTAACAGCATCCAGCTTGATATTGCTTTTAGTAATTTTTTAAAATAATGTTTTCTCAATGAAGGGAAGAGACTCATGCTTAGCCTCATGGAATACTGGACTTAGAATTTTAAACACAGCTTCTCTACTATAATTCGTACTCTCTTAGCCTCTTAAAATCTTAGAGCCTTACTTCTTCATCTATAAATTAAAAGAATCCTTTAATGGAAAAGTAATCAATAAAATGTGGTAGTTCCTAGGTCACAAACAGTATATTTGAACAAAGAAATGTTCTTGTAGGTCATGTCAAAGGGAAAACATTGATACATCTCTGGTTTGGGGCAAATAAATACAAATAACTTACCAAGTGAGATGCTTATCTATGTATTAGGAAAAACTCAGATTTAAGTGACTTCAAAGTTACAAGCTCTCTGTCTATCAAAAATACTAAGGAGATCATTTACATGTGCTAGCATTATTTATCTAATGTTTCAAGTTAGCAAGCAAAGTACTCCTGGAGAAATGGCATGGCTGTGTGAGTCCTTTCCTCCAGTCTCCATTCTTTTTCCACTCCAAATCTTTCTTTCAAATGGCACGAGAATTGTAAATTTCTCCCATAAATCTGACATGCCACTTGCAAGGGCTTCTAATAACTTCCCATTATTTTTAATCCAAATACAGCTTTCAAAGTAGTTCTTATTTTAAAATCTGACCTCTGCTGCTTTCTCATCTAATACTTTATTCATCATAATTTCGCATCTTAATCACCTTGTCAAGGGTGACTTTCTCAATCTATAGTCTTCTGGTTTTGAACGTCTCCTGGGTGCCACCTTAGAACCCTACTCTCTTCCTCCATTCAAAACTTAGTGGACTCTGTGGAAAGGCTGGTTATTTGCTTCTGTATTATAGATGCCACACCCAAAGTGGCTTAACATCACAGGAGCTGTTGATCAAGTGAAAAAAATAACCGGGAAGTGATTCAGTAGAGAAGCCAAATTTCTGAGTTTCTCTGGATGTTTTTGATTTCTAAAGGGACAATGCCACACACCTGTAAGGCTCACACAGGTGTTGGTGTGTGTCCTGCATAAATCATCAGAGATGTCACTAAATCTCTCTGTCCTTTATCTTGGAACCAACCATCCTCAGATAGTTAAATGAGATGCCCGAGAAACAAGTGGAATAGGGCATGCCACATAGGAAATCATAGGTATATATGCTTCATTCTTGTATTCATCCAATTCAAAGTTTAATGTAAGGAAAAGTGAAGTACTAATTCTAGGTAATTGGTCATTGGGTCTGGTTTAATAAAGCTAATCTAGGTAATTAGGTTCAGGAAACTGTGGTAGGTCCTGGAGGTTCCAAGGCATACTGACTCAGGAAGCTAAGATTTGAGTGAGGACACAGACATGACTTAGTCACACAGAGAGATAACCACAAGCCATGACATAATGTGACATTCAAGGCCCAGTGTACAAAATAGGATATACTTGTGATGGGGCTAGGAGGATGAAGAAGGCTGGAGCAACACTGTAGCATGCAGGCAAGGTTTGCCCTTGTTCAGAATCTAACAGCAGGTTTGAAGAAGGAAAGCCACATGATATAAATGCAGCTTAAAAAATACCATTTCTGTTGGGCATGGTGATGCACACCTATCTTCGAGGCACTTGAGAGTTAGAGGCAGGAGGATCATGAATTTGAGATTGGCCTGAGCTACCGGGAGAGTTCCCAGACAGATGAAACTACATAGGAAAATCTTGTCTCAACTAAAACAAATTAAGTAAGTAAACGAGTAACTATTAAAACATTGCTGCTTTAAGAGAAGGAAGCAGTATGAATGGGTAGGGGGGCAGTTGGCAGTAGCTGGAGTACGAGGGGATGCACAGGTGATAGGTCACAGAAAGAATTGTCACCTTGTGCCATGTTATAGTGCTATTTTCCAGGAGTGGCATGGTGGATAGGGGACAAGTTTCACAGCCAGAATATTGGGGATTCACCCATGGCTCTGCTAATAACTGTAAATTGGGACAAATTATTACAGCTCCACAAATTTTACCCTCAGAGTGATTTGTGTAATGAGCCTATAGATGTGCTGGCCACATGTAACAGGTGCTCAACAAATGATAGGTATCAGTGTT